GCCTCGCACTGATGACCTATCCACGTCATCATTTACCCAGAATGCTTTGCGTGTAAATAAAATGGCTCAGTCCATGTGAAAATATATTTTTTTAAAATTACAAAACTGAACTGCCTACAGTATTTTTACAGTCTTTATTTTACAGTTTAAATGTATGTTTATCAAATAAAGTCTAAAATATTAAAATATGCCATAAACTACATCTAACTACCAACAAACGCCAACGCAAGGAGTCTAATAGAGGTTGGAATAAACTGGCCATGCCAGAGACACTAATGCACCCCGATGCCATCAGAGAGGCCAGCTTTTGTGCTGTGCATCATTTAGGTTTTTATTTAGTATTGAGGGCGTGGCCTCTGGTGGTTCCCAAAAATATTTTCAAATCGTCTGGTCACAGAACCTTTTTTCCACTTTGCTTCAGTCTATTTTAAATGAGCGTTGGCCCAAAGAATATGGCGGCATTTCTAGATGGTGTTCACATATGACTTCTTCTTTGCATGATAGAGCTTTGATCTACATTTTTTAATGGCATGGTGCACTGGGCTTAGAGTGAAGCGAAACCAGAATCAGACCTGTTTTTTTTCTGTCTCTGTCCGAAGTTTTTTGAGAGGTGTTGCAGCCAAAAAAAAATCATAATTACCTTTTTTTTTTCGGAAAATTGTCAAATTTGTTGGTTTAAAGTCGGTTCTCAAGGGCCAGTGTCCTGCATGTTTCAGGAGCTACCCTGGTTAAACAGCTGAACCTAAGGAGTGCTTAATTAGTAGGCCTCCTCAGTATGCCATCAAGATCTAATTAGGCACTCCTTATATTCAACTGTGTTTAACCAGGGCAGCTCCTAAAACATGCAGGACACCGGCCCTTGTGGACCGACTTTGGACACCACTGGTTTAAACATTTGATATATTTACTAAGTTCCACTGTCAACAAAATATGAATTTATGAAATTAGAAAATCATTGCAACTTGTTTTTGTTTGCATTTTTAACGACATTGCAATATTTTTCATTCAGAACTGTAGTTGTAGAAAAGATATGCGCCCCTCGTCAGCAAAATTTTGTTGCGAGCCTTATCGAACACATCAATATGGGAACCAGTTTATGATGAGGCATCCCCAATGATATAAATTCTCCCGTCTGGCAGACACAACAGACCAGCTTGTGATCACTTCTTAGTCTGACTAAAAAAAAAACACAGCCGTTCTCGTTAMTGCCGCAAAAATCCAAGTCGACCTTGTGTGTCTCTAACCCTCAAGCCGCAGTCTGAAATTCCAGCAGTTTGGAGTCGCTCTGGAATTTTCCACAGCCATCCAACGTCTCCCAATCAACAAGGAGGAACACGTTACTGCAAGCCAGGAATCGTATCCTCGTGCCTGTCTCCGCGCTGTCCCTCGTTGCTGACAAAATTCTCAGAAAGCCAAAGCAATCTAAGGGCTGTGGTAGCTAGGAGAAACCATTTCCTGTTGTGCAACGAGAGACCTCGGCACCAGAGCATCCCAAAAGAGGCTCGGGGAGTCAGGTTGCCGAGGAGTCGGTGTAAAGCAGCTCTCATTGACACAGCATTCAGCAGGTACTGCTTCACTTGGCCTCCCTGGAGATGCTACTGTTTTACGGGAAGACAACACCATTCCCCCCCCACTCAAATCAGATTCTTGAAACCCTTCCTCACAGCTCTGAACCTGTTGGCTCCCGTTGCTCCGTTGGCAAACAGTTCACAGCAGCTCCTCAGGCTGCAGCCGAGAGCAAACTTTCATTTTTCTTCTCCCGGACCGGCGCTGCTTTCTGTTGTCTTACCGTAACAGAAATCACAGCTGGAGGGGCAGTGCTTCTGCATCAGCTTGCGCTTGCTGTCGCAATAGCCTTTCCGAGCCCAGGCAGGACAAATAAAAAACCGGTCCAAACATCCTGGAAGAGAGAGATGGATTCAGAGAGGAGGAGGGGGGGGATCAGACAGCAGTTCTTACTTAGCAGCAAAAAGAAACTGGATCCCCAGTCTGCTTCAGTTGCCAGTGAAAGTGACTCACCATAACACACACAAATGATGACTCGTGAGTAATTTTGTACAGTAGGCACTAATGCCACGTTGGCTTTTACTCATCACAAACACAGAAGTCCACTTCCCTGCTGGTTCGGACCAAAAATGCATCATCAGAGTTTCTTCAGCTGGTTCTCTGCRCGTGCATTGAGATGTAACTCCGCCACTGCCAAATTCAAATGTGCCACTATGTCAGATTAAACAATCATCCTGGCTCAGTTTTTCTCCTGATTTGGCCGACAGTCATGGCCGACCGCCTGCTGGACTGCAAATAATGAGAGCTCGCAGCGCACGATGACAGCTTGTTGGACATTTGGAGTCACGGATCTGTCATAACTTCAGGACTAGCATACTTCATTTTTTCCTTTAGCACCTTTAACAGCACTATTGAACCAGTTGTAAAGGTTGTCAGAGCAGGTAGAAAACGACATTATTGTYGTACTAGTCTTTTCAAGAAGTTGTTTGGTTTCCAGCTATTACTATACTTGGCACTTTGCACCAATTTTTACCCCAGATTTGCCAGGTTGTCTGATTCCAGGATGAAAACTGAACTCTCTCTTCATGTTCTGTTCATTCAAGGATGTTTTAAACAATTAACAAACTTAATAAATCCCAAATCCTCGATTAAATGAGAACTTGTGTTTTCATAGAAACACGAGGATTCTGAACATACCGTAGAGACGGTGCAAACCCCACACCTCATCCTGCGTGATGAGCTTGCGTCCCGTCAGGGTTGCGTTCAGGTGCATGATGGCATTTGGGTTCAGGGAGTGCATGAGTCCCAGGGCGTGACCGATTTCGTGAGCTGCCACGTGGACTAGATCTGTCAACCAAACTCCTGCGTGATAAAAAAAAAACTGATTATTTTCTTTAGTTTCTCGGTTGAGATTCAACCACATCCATCGGGTTATGAGTTAAAGAGTTAGTCTGGTCATTTTCAAAGAGATGTCGAGTCCGTTAGGATCTTATCAGACGTAGAGCATGGAAGATGGAGGAAGAGGCACGAATATTCATTTATGTTTCTTTTTTTCCGTACGTTTTTCAATTTTTGTGCTATTTCAACAATTCATATATCAAAACGTTCAGCTTCTTCAGGAAATTTCGGCTATGACTTTAGCTACTTCAGGAATTTATACGTTGTGGCCATTTTTTTCCCCACACTAAAAATAAATGGAGCTGTCTTCAACATCTTTAAAACTCTCCAACATTTTTACTGTAGTTTTCTACAGTTGGTTCTGTTCTTCTCTGTGCTAATTTCATCTTCCTTCAGCTTCTATTTTGTTGATTTAGCTATCACTCTGACCTTTTCCGCGATTCTTCTGCTCATTTCAACTTCTTCATGCGGTACTTTAAACTTTTCTTTTGTTCATTTCACTTTTTTTCTAGCTTTTTTCTGCCACTTTCAGCTATATTTCTACTTTTTTCTGCATATTTTTGTATTTTTCAGCTGTTTTCTGTCCCTTGGAGCTTTTGTTTTCACAGTTTGAGTTCTTCAGCAAACTTCAGCAATCCTTCTGCTAATTTTGGGTTCCACCACCTGGCAAAATTCAGCAAACATTATTAGTTCAGTGTTAAAATGGTTTTCAGCTTTTTCAGCAACTTTCAATTCAGCAATAAGTATTCACACTGCATTGCAGGAAATACAATTTCTTTAGTTTTGCTTTCATGTAAACAGGACACATCTACTTTTTTGATCCTTAAATGCATTTTGTTGTGCACTTGGAGCAGAAATTTTGAATTTAGTCGTAAACCTCTCTATCAAACCAGAATGGCCCACTCTGGAAGCTTGGAGGGGGGCGGGGTGTTGAAGCGCCTTTTTTGGATTTAAAGGGGCAATATTATGTGTTTCTCAGGCATACATTTAAGTACTATACTATAATAAAGTATTTATGTCACCTTTAGTTGTTATTAAAATGTTTTTAATGTTTAAATAGAAAATAAACTTATCTTCTCATCACTTCCTCTTCTAAACGCCTTGAAATTGGCCTCTGTCTCTTTAAGAACCACCTTCTGCTTCTGTCCCGTCCCGTTCAGTGCGGAGGATTGTTGGGGGGGTTGCGCGTGCGCTAAGATGCAGTTTACTTGGCATCTGAAAATACATTTCCTCAAAGGGGCTTGTGGAGTTACAATAAGGATGAATTCAGACCGAAGCGTTGCAGTTCCACTTTATATAGACCCCAACTGAAGGATTTAAATGTGGAGATAAAAAAGATTTAAAAGCAGGATTTTTCTCCTTTGTCTCAGTTAGTTTCATATGTTTGTGATAAAACCTGTTCTATCATTTTGTCCTGTGTATGTTTGTCTGTGCTTTACAACTAATGTCACCGAACAAGGTACTATTGATTATTATTTGACAGAACATCGCTTCAGAAATGACCAGACTACCGCTTTAAATATCAGTAGCTTCAACAAACATAAAATATTCCAGCCTTTCTTCCAGCTGTAGCGCATGTTTCCCAGAATCCAGTACTCGTGGTCGTCGAAGTGGATCTCGCCTGTTGGGGGGAAGAAGGCATGGGCCAGTTCACCTGTGATGCCGTCAAAACAAGGGTGCAAGTAGGACTGCAGACAGTCTGTGTGGTTGATGGGGTAGAAGCCTGCCAAGTCAAAGACAGACAAATCTCAGAGCCAAAGAGGGAAACCCTCCCTCCGCTCTATCTGCTTTGTGTAGACTGCAGCTGCAACGTGATGAATTACTGGCGACAATAAAAAAAAAAGCTCTTTGCTCAGCCTTCACCCTTTAGAGTAACAACCAAGTCTCTCACTGTCAATGAAAATTTATGCTGGAGTCTCCAGTTTGCACCCGAAGGGATGCATAAAACATAATTCAGAATGCTTTGCCATGCACGGAGTTGTCTTTCATTGAGAATTATAAATCAGGTTGAGTTAAAGCGTGGTAACACAGTTACGCTAGGGTAGCTTAAAGAATTTAGAAGCCAAAAACACTTCTATTATTAAAGGACCAGATTCCTTAAAAGAACGCTTATTGCCTTTCATGTCAACGATTTAGACTAAGATCATTTTCTGTTAAAGACAAACAAACAGGGTCAGTTCCTACAGTAAATGTTAACGTTTTAAACAAACCAAATTTAGCATACCTGCAAACTTGGCTGAATTATAGCTGTTTGTGTGTTTTTTAAGCTTAGTTGGCAGTGATGGTCATCTTTAATTGGATTTGCTCCAAGCATTAAATCATTGTACCTACATTTTTTATTATTATTTAATTAAAATCTGTAAAGTGGTTCAAGAGATATTTCGCTAACAGACCGGCAGAGTTGATTCCAATAGCCAATGCCAGAGATTTGAACACAACTTGTGCTCATATTATAAGTTAGAGATCAATCTTAGCAACCAGCCCACCAAATTTTACCGCATTATCTGTGAAACTGACTGAGTTATAGCCAGTTTTATGTTTGCTAAAACTGCTTTGCCATGGCAGCCATCTTGAATCAGCTCTATATGTCAACCCAGTGATTTATTTCTGAAAGTTTGATTCAAATTTGTTCTTTGAAATCATGAGCTTTCTTGCTAACGGCACAAACAAACTCACACAGCCACGGGCAGAAACAGCCAGAAAAGGAAAAGCCAACAACAAAGCAGAGTTATTGACCTCAGAGCCAAAAAAGAAGAAAGAAAAAATAACCATCTGTTGAGAAAAGTACAGCTACACGCATGGAGAGCCCTCACCGATCTTAATGTCTGCCTCTTGGTCGGCTGGCACCTTTTTGAACGTGAACGGGGAGACGTCACTCCACATGCTGAAGGCCTGGGCAATGCCTCGATGTGTGTCGCTGGCGTTTATCAAGTTTGTTGGAAAAGAGAGCAACCTGTTGGGGGAACAAGAGCATTGTGTTGTTAATATACTGGACTCTGCACGCATTCCTCCACAGCAGAGGAAAACATCCAAAACACAGTTGCTACTGTAGAGACACAAAAACTCCCACAGGCTCTGCAACTACAGCTCTATTACTGAAACTTTAGATCCTCTCTCATTTCAGCCACGAATCGAGGTGCGCCAGTACTTTCGGCAAAGGTTGTGCAAAATTTAGACGGCACATCTATTTCTAGACCAGTCTCTGTGCTGATTTAACATTCACAATACTGTTTTTATTTTCATTTATGTTTTATGCAATCTTTACTTCTGCAAAAATTTTGCTATTTTAGCCATACTTACATCAAGACATTCAGCTCATTCATRAGATAGGTGCTGACTTTTCTAACTTTTAAACTTACAAAATATTTAACTTCCCCCCATAGACRTTGACATTGCCTCAGTTCTTCACAAAAAAGATCTCTTTGAAACCAGCTTCTCCTATTTGCGCTTTTAGCTTTAAATTCATATTTTATTACTTTTAGCAACTATTTTACTACTTTTACAGTAAATAGCTAGGCCTTTGCTACATTTAGCCTTTAGCCAGCATTTAGAGATTTTTACCTATTTTAGTTTACTTATTTTTACCTTACTTTTAGTCTGCCTTTTGTTGCTTTTAGTTTTTATCTATTTTAATACCTTTTGTTCATAAGCCTTTTGAAACTTGCAGTTTTTGGCTAAAACTTTGCTACTTTTAGCTTMTTAGCCAGCCTTTTGTTGCTTTTAGTTTTTAGCTGTGCTCCTAATTCTTTCTCACAAGCCTTTTGAWATTTTTAATTTAGCTAATTTTAGCTTCTAGTTAGCATTTTATTATTTAATTTAGCTTTTTTAAGCATTTCATTAGCTTTTTTAGCTTTTTTGTTCACCTTATTCTTTTTTAAGTTAGTGTAGCCACTGTTTTGCTCTTTTTACATTCTAGTTAGCCTTTGGCTTTTTTTTTTTTTAGCTTTTTGCCTAGCATTTTGCTACATTTAATACTGTTATATATCCTTTAATTTTAATATCTGTTTCAGCTTCTTTAGCAAATTTCAGTTAACTCCTTTAGCATACAGCTCTCACACATACAGTCTAATATCCTCGTTGGAGACTTTATGGGATCATTTACAGCTCCAGAAGGAGTGAAGTCGCTGGAACGTTTCCCAACAGTTAGCGCTGCTCAATCCAAATTGCTTTGAATCGCATCCACTGCACAGGGAGTGCAGAAGTCCTTTCTGTGCTCCTTAGTTTTCCTTTTTTTTTCCCTCAAATGGATCTCCAGAGTTTTGCACGGTGATGACTTAGACCAACTTTTAGTCAATAACATTTTAATCCTGGAACAGATGAGAGTGAGATGGCAAGCTTTTTAGTTTTGGATAAAATATCCCTTTAAAGTGCAGCTAAACCACATCAACAGCTGTCAGATTCAAAGAGTTTCAAAACTACAATAAATCTTTGCAAATGCAGACTTTGAAAAATAAAATCTGTGCTTCTGTTTTCCTGCCATAACCAATCGGACTCTTGCCATTTTATTTGTTTTCTTCTTACAAATATATATTTTTTTTAACAACTGTAATCTGGTCGTGGTGGTGACAAAAGGACAGTCTGTGAATAAATACTTGTACGTCAGGTTGAACTTGTCCCATTTGAGTTGCTCTGGAGTCAGAGTGTAGCGCTTGTTCCTGGAGAGGTGAAGCATTTGGGACCGGGCCTCTTTGCGGATCCCGATGAGCAGCACAGCGGTGTGAGCTTCTTCCTTGGACAAAGCAAAAACCTTTAATGATTCACCTCACCATGTAAAATGAACTTAAGACTGCATATGTTGTATGTTACTAATCGAGAGGTTTTGCCCCCTATCTTGCTAGCTTTGAAAAACATGCAGTTTGTTCTTTATTGATTCTAGAAATATTGTCTGAAGTAAAACTGTGGTTCTACTTGACTCCAAAAGTTCATGATAGTGGTAGCAAATATGTGACAGTGGCCAACTTTCAACATTTAAAGTTGAAATTAAATGTGAAAGCTTTGGTGTGTCCGACAGCTGAGGCATGTCAGACATGTTCTTCTAGCATCTCAGGAGGCTTTGCTTTTTCTGGGGAGGGTTTAAGCTCGTCTCTTCACAGAAACATGGTTTACATTTGGCCAAATAACACCACTAAGTTGGTTATAAAATTAAAAGTTTTAGCATTCCTTAAAGGAATCCACATGGCTCGCCTTCCATGCCAAATTTGTGGTTGTTTTGGTTAAACCGTGTGAAATTTGTGAGCTGTAATAGTGCTCAGTTTGTGTAGAAAATGACTCAGCCAGCACCACACCAAAATTTAGCTCAATATTTGTAATACTGAGTAAGAGTCACTTTTATGTTGGCTATAGTTGATTAGTTGTGTCAAACAATTTGAATCGAGGTTGACGCCAAACGTTAATCAGTTGTAGATGTATAAAGTTTTGTTAAATTTTGTCTTGTGTTACATCAAATGCATTGCTAACATGACAAATACAGGGCTGTTTCAAGGCACTCTGGGAGCCATAGGCAAAGGGGATCTGGTGGACCCCCACCACTGGCCCCAACCTTAATGACCACCCGCTAAAAGTCAGGAACCACAACATGGATGTTAAAGTTTATCCAAACTTTATGTCAACAAAAATACTTTTAGAGAGCAAATTTTCTTCACATTTGAACATTTTAAAAGACCCACTTTCACACATTTTAAAAACAGCAAATAAATCAAGTGCAGGCTTCATATTAACTTTAAAATCCAACATGAAAAAAATCCACACACATTTTTCACTAAATCTGCTGCTTCCGAGTCTGGGCTTCAGCAAAAGCAACCATAATGTCTTCCATGTCCAAGAACCTGCAAACATTCCACTCAGTCGACTTAAGTGTCAGTCCTGTGAGCCTCTTTTGGCACATGGTGGACCTCATACATTCTGTCAGCTTTAAAGCTGAAAAATTTCTCTCATCGGATCGGAGGCCTCTGACACAGTAAGAGTCAGGAGTAGACACAAGGCAGAAAGTGGGAGGGTTTGTTTCCGATAAGAGTGGCTAAATTCATGACCTGGCCTACCCAGTCTACGTGGGGTGGGTCCTTTGTCAGTCGTGAAGAACAGTAGAAAGTGGCTGTGAACTTGGCCGGTCTAGCCTTTAGCGTTCATGCCACCCTTACCCCAGAATGTAAAGTAAAACGTGTTAGTAAAACGTGACAGAAACAAAAACAGCAATGAAAATAGAAATTAGCATAAGTATTAATATATTAATATTATAAATGAACAAAATTAGTTTAGAGGCAATACACTAAGGGACTGCCATTTAAACTGTCAAGAATAATATTAAAAAACATGTCTATGTGATGGACTTGTGACCTGTCCAGGGTGTACAACGCTCCTCGCACAGTGACTGCTGGATATGGACACCAGTGACCCCGTGACCCTGAAAGGAAGTAGCGGGTATAGATAATGGATGGATGTCTATGCAAATGACAAAAGCCTATAAACACAATCGTTTTAATATTTTCATTTTTGTACTGCCTATTTTCATTTAAAACTGTACTCATGTGTCTCGCTTTGCAATAAAAATCTCCGGTCAACCCGCAATGCATCATGGGATAGGGCAGGCCGAGAAGGATACACCGGACCCTTCCTTCAAATCAGGTCAAAAAAGAGGACGCATTTGTGGGCCGCAATTGGAGGAGCCTTCAAATTTGGACAGCCTTTGGYGTGGCGCAGTGGCGTAAGTGGCCAACAAATTCGACCTTTGAAGGATGCAGCCCCTGAATTTGGACACAACCAATGTCTCTGCACTTTCCTACATTGACCACCATAGAATTTAAAGGGACAGTCACAGAGTTTGTTGTTGCATCTATAACATAACCTGTCATTGTCAGGCCTCAGTTTAGCTTGCGGTCTGGTTTGCCTGCCCTGTTGCGATGGGCTTGCACGCACATACTGGGCTGAAATTTGGTGTGGTTGTAGCTGAGAGTCATCCTCAACAGATCTCAAATCTTACATGATTGTGCAAGACATAAAGTTAGACCAAAATTAACTCTGTCATTTCTAGAATCAGCACAGACAGGGACCCTCCTTAGCCTGCTGCCCGACATACAATGCACCCGACCTTGATGGTCCTCCCTGTGGGTGGTGGGTCCACGTGGATGTGGAAATAGCTGAGTCGAAAGGCAAAGCTCTCAATTTACAGGTCTGTCTTCGTTCTAASCCTCACCTATGGTCATGAGGCGTAGTTCATGAATGAAAGAACGAGATCCCGGATACAAGCGGCCGAAATGAGCTTCCTCTGTAAGGTGGCTGGGCTCATCCTTAGAGATAGGGTGAGGAGCTCCGTCATACGGAGGGAACTCRGAGTAGAGCCGCTGCTCCTCCACATCGAAAGGAGTCAGTTGAGGTGGCTCATCTGATTAGGATGCCTCCTGGACGCCTCCCTGGTGAGGTGTTCCGGGCATGTCCCACTGGTAGGAGGAGGTCCTGGGGAAAACCCAGTACTCGCTGGAGGGATTATGTATCCTCTCTGGCCTGGGAACGCCTTGGGACACCCCCAGGATGAGGTGGAAAGTGTCGCTGGGGAGAGGGATATCTGGTTCTCTCTCCTGGACCTACTGCCTCCGCGACTCGACTACRGATAAGCGGAAGAAGATGGAGATGTAGAGGAGATTTCTCAAAGTAAGATGATTTTAAACTGTGGTGAGAAAGGCCCTGGGCGATAGTGTTTTTCAACCCTGGTCCTCARGGCACACTGCCCTGCATGTTTTTAAGGTTTCCCTGCTTTGACACACCTGATTCAGATGACTGCAGTTCAACAAAAGCCTGTTAATCAGTTAGCAATTGAAATCAGCTGTGTTGAAGCAGGGAAACATCTAAAACATGAAGGGCAGTGTACCTTGAGGACCAGGGTTGAAAAACACTTCAAAGCATCACTGACCTCAAGTGACAGTTTGTAGTCATGTGCTCAGTGACTAACGAGGTGTTTGAAGAATCAAAGCCAGCTTTTTCTCAGATGGAGATGAATCACAAACCACGAGCAGTAAAAGCAAACCCTTCAGAATAAACCGTGACACCATAAGAAAGTGTTGTGTCGCAGACAGAGCTGAAACATCTGAGGGGAAATCTCTCAGGATTTCGAGTCTGGAACAGTTTAGCCTCAAACGACAAAACAAGGGATTATAATTGTCCTAGCCTAAAAAAAAAAAACAAAAGAAAAAAATAACCGTTTAAAAAAAGTGATTTTCTTTGTATTTAATTAAAAACACAAAAATGTTTGTTGAGCTTTTCTTCAGTCTGCTTATTTGTTTGGTAAAATGAACATGACATGGAAAGTTGTAGACATTTTAATGGGATTGTCAAGAAACAGATGGTGATTTAAAATTTTTATTGCACATTATGGATCATTCAAACAATTCATCGTTTTCGGCATAAACCGCATTTGGCACCATTTTAACTTTAATTTGTCTGCTCAAAATCTTTTGCACATGCTACCTTTTCTAACTTGCCTTAGAGCTTATCTGAGGCAGTTATCCAATCCGCCAGCAGTCTTCCTGACTGACATGTAATGAGAGCGTGTGGCAAAGGAAATGACATAAAGCTTTCCCTCAGGCTCACTAACACAGTGGGTGGTTGGCAAGGAGGGAAGCATGTGGAGTAACACATTTAATCAATCCACTGAAGATTTTACCAGGATCCACTTTGTTGGCTACGACTGAATTCAGCTCTTATTTCATCTGAACCTAAACTGAATCTTWAATATAATATACTGTACAAAAAGCGTGAAGACAATCAAGCTCAGAATACATCAATAAACAAAAATATAACACAGTAATCATATCAGTGGCTAGTGTGTCTTTTAATTGAAAATTTGTAAAAAAAATTTGTGAAAGTCTACGAAAATAGCCAAATTGCCCAAAAATAGTTCAGCGATGCCAATGTCCATAAAATAGCCATTTAGAATTGAGAAGTATGTCGACTTTAGTGTGCTGGTACATATTTAGATTTGTTGAGTATAAGTTGTTATGCAGATAAAACTGCCGTGTTTACATTGAGTGCGTACCCTTATTTCAGATATGCGTATAAATAAATCAGGAACACCACTGGAGTAAACTCTTTCAAACTGCRSAGTCTGGKWTGAGTACCTTTTTCTGGAATATAAACATTATATTACATTAAACTTGTAGGCTATTTAGGTTCCTAAGGTAAACAAAAGAGAGAGAAAATGCAGAACGTGCTAAAGATAAGTGACTTTTAATAAGATATCAGATAAAATCATTCCTTTTGCACATAAAAGAAATGTTGCAAAAAACATTTTGGAGGGTGCAGTTTGGTGATATTAATTTTCTGGTACCCCCCCACTTGATGAAGTGGTCACAGCATACCTCTAACCTCCAGGAGGGGAACGCTGTGGTTAGCTGCATCCCTGCGAGCAGAAGGCTGAGCATCGCAGTGAAACTCCTGGCATCGCTGCGTGAACCTCTGGAAGTCCGACAGCACACCATTGTTTCCATGTCACACCTCCGGGGGAAAAGTTAGCTGTCTGCGACGGCGGCTCTCCCATCCATGCCCGTGGGTGTTACTTCTCCTTGGCCATCGTGGCACGCGGCAGCAGTCGGGTTGTGGGCTCAGCTGTGGTGGTTTTCTGCAGAGCAGACTGCTCGGCTCTCTYCCTCTCAGCTGCGCCTGGCAGCGTTTCTGCAGCTGGGGCAGGGGGTCAGTGTCGAGACTATCTAATGAAAACCAAACGCCCTGACCGTCCCACACACAACTCAGTTAAATCAGAATCAGATGGGCTGTTCCTGTTAAGTTTATATAATGGTGCTTGGAGCAAAAGCAAAGCAGAGACGCTGAGGCAGAGCAGGAAAGACCAGTGGCGTTAAGATCTTTAGGCACTGGGGGAGGACACCTTCCCTCCCTCGCCTCCCCCAAAATGTATTCATACTTATTTTCCTCTCTGTTTCGTTGGGTTTTGGGATGTGTCACAGTTTTTTACTATCCTGTATTTAGCTTAAAATGATGAGAAAATGCGCAGAATTAAGGCTTAGTTGTTACATCTGAAAAGGAACAATGGCTAAAAGCTAAAAGGCGTGAAGCACATGCTAAAAATAAAAAACCTAAATGCTAGCTGAGTCAAAAGTCACGAGCTACTTCAGCCTTGGGCTGGATGCCATTTCATGGAAAATCACTTATCTGAGCACACTTAACAGAGCACTTCGCTCTCAGACTGCAGGTTTACTAGTGGTTCCTCGAGTTTCTAAAMGTAGARWGGGAGGCAGAGCTTTCTGTTATCAAGCTCCTCTCTTGTGGAACCATCTTCCAGTTTCTGTCCGTGAGGCTGACACTCTGTCTACTTTTAAGATTAGACAGAAGACTTTCCTTTTTGATAAATCATATAGTTAGATTTAGGTTTCCTCTGTTATTCCTTAGTTATTGTAGTTAATTAGTTATGCTGCTATAGACTAATGGTGCGTTCACACCAAACGCGTTTTCAGCGTCAGGAGCATCAGGTTTACATGCAAAGTCTATGGTGGAAGCGCTTCAAGCAGCGTCGGGAAGTGCTGCGGCGCCTCAAGTGTGATTAGAGCGGCGCAATTTGAACGATTTGAACGATCTGAGCGTTCGACGTGCTTGAGGCGCAAATCRCTGAAGTTAGAAAATCTGAACTTTTGCAGCTCGACGCGCCACGTCAACCAATCAGAGAGACTCCAMTGTGTGACGTAGTGACAGATTTCCCGATGGGACAGTTTACTGAATGATGTCCACTAACCTGAAACAGATGGAGAGGAGCTCCTTAGCTGAAATCGAGTGCCTGCAGTCGGTGTCCTGACAGGAGATTTCCTCACCAATGCGTGGCAGCGACTCATCAGACTGGACTCGGGACAAAAAATAATCTTGAAAGCGAGCTGTGAGMCTCTCCCGCAGCTCCTGGGTGATGAAACTCAGAATGTCTCTGAATTATCTGGTGAATTAATTATGAATTAATTATCTGATGAACGTGACATGCTCTTGCTCTCTGTWAAWAAAGCAAAGCCACTTCCTCGTCTGACATTAAACAGAGCCCGACAGAGGAGGGAGGGGCGGGGAGGCTCTTGCAGTGCGAGCGCTTCAAGAGCTGACCTGTGTCTGACCTCAAAGTGCACAAGCGTCCAACTTGAAGCGTTGTATGCGATTTTGAAGCTGAAATCGCGTTCATTGTGAACGCAGCATTAGACTGCTGGAGCACAAACTGACCACATTTCCTCACTCTGCTATTATCTTTAGTCTCTCTCCTCAACGTGTTTGTTATAATTACTTCTATCAGTAACGTGTTTTCTTTGTCTCTCTTCCAGAGGAAAATAGACCTGGACCAGTCCTGTTTGGCTGTCTCTCTTTCCTGTCCCTAATCCCAGCCAGTCAAAGCAGATGGCCGCCTGTCCTGAACTTGGTTCTGCTGGAGGTTTCTTCCTGTTAAGGGGGAGTTTCTCCTTTCCACTGCTGCTGGTGTGCTGCTCAGGGTGGGAGACTGTGACGAAGCAAAGATTCTGTGCAGTCTGCT